GGTCTCTTCTTTTCGCATTACCGCTCCATTTCCAACAAGAATTTCAACGATCACCAAATCAAGTTACTTGAGTTAATTTATACCAGTTCTTAACCCTTCAATTGCGCTCGCCGAATTTACTAGTACCTGCTTTGATGTACATCAGCAGTATTATGAACATCTTATATGCGCAGGTCCGCCTTTCTGTCCACAAATTTTTACCCTTTGACTAATTTATTAATATATTATGTAAGTCTTTTAAAACCGTGACCACGGAAAATCAACCCTAAGAATGGTCATTAGTTGAAACGTGTCCTGATATAATATTATAAATTTAACAGCTCGCCTCATACTCGCTTAGTCATGCCGTAGGTTTTAGGAGTTCGGATTGCACTCAATGCCCATTAGACATTAGAGATAAAACTCCTTGAGAATTATTATTTTATTATGCCAGACAAATGAAGGCATATGTTTATATACCTGGCTCGGCCTGAAGATATTTTTAGTGCATTTTATGTAGAGTTTCTACACGGCGTTTAACACGGTGTTTAAGCTGGATACTGTTTCGTATTGCACGAAGCCTGGTCCCCACCTATGTAACTGTTAGGTGAATGCATTGCATCAGTTATATAGTTGACGAGGTGTCATTTTGTTCATTTGTTCATCAGTAAGTAAAATGCAGCAGACTTCCGCAGCATTGTTCAGGAAAGAAGTGGTGCTCAAATCTGCCAGTGTTGAAAGGCGTTTATGAAGATGACAATGAATCTTTATTGAAGTTGGACGACGGAGGCGGTTTGTAAACGTATTAGACACCCTGGGTTGACTGTCAATGCTGCATTCAATGCGAAGCTCTTCTATGTGGATTGACATTAAGTCATTATAGGCCAAAGAAATAGTGCAGCCATCTAGTTAATTATCCTCTCTGGATGGATTTCATCGAGCTGGAGAACTCTTCGTTGGATTTCATTGGCCGTCAGCCAATAATCTTAGCAAAGGTTCATTCACTTACTATGGCCATTATCACTCATGAACATGAATGCCCTCGGACTAGAAAAAAATGACACTAACCAAGTTAGTCATTTGAAGTCACAGGCCTAGACTTCTGTAGACCATTTCGTACAAGCATGAGGAGTGTCTTACCACTCCTGTAAATAGCTACTTTTGCGTTTTTATTTGATTTGCAATAATCTTATTTTAAAAGAAATACTTTTGATTTCAATGCAAACGGTCGTGTTTTTTTGCGCTCCGAATTTATGTCAAAACCGGCGTTAGTTTTTAATAAATTCTTCAATAATTTTTTTTTTTGTATTTATAACTATTAAAACTCCAAAACACCAATAAAGAATGAGCAGCCGAAAATGACTTGTTGTTGGCTGCCTAATATGAACGCCCCGCAGCTTCCGGTCAGTTGAATCAACAGGACTCCACTTCAGAATAACAATCTTCATTGCCAAAAGTCCCCTTGGTGATTCCACTAAAGAAACAAATTTTCTCATCTGATGTATTGTAAAAACAAAAGCCGATAACATAAAAGTGGAAAAATTGTACTGTCCCTATAGAGCTATTCCCAAACATTTGCTATGGTGTTTTTCGACCGGATAGTAAAAAAATTCGATCAAAAATAAGAAAAAAGGGAACATGGGAATTAAAGTTCCCTTACGTGGCCAGACCTATGCCCCATCTTCCTCCTTTTCGAATTCCTTAAAAAACTAACATCCAGCCTCACTATATCTTAACAAAATGCAAGAGGATTACACAGCAAGCTAATTAAATTGTATCCTGATAGCCTTTCCCATTCATCCCATATCATTTACAGACACTTAAAGTTTAAAGAGACTTGGAAAGAGATACTAAACTATAAAGTTTTCCCAGGTATGTACACAATACACAATCGTCCTTCAATCGTCGTCAGAGGAGATAAAAGGGAGATAGAGTATAGAGATAGAGTAAAACTGTCATTCTCTCATTGCTCCGCTTATATTACGTGCTTTTACATTCCGCCGTCTTCTGAATTCCAAGAATATTTGAATCATTTGTCGTCTATCAAAACCGTATCAAATAAGCTGTCCGATACGGACCAACTGGAAGTTCTAAGTGATTTTAATATACCTTGCACAAATGGAAAATGTAATATCCGTCTCCTTATAGCACAACATGACGGTTTACTTAACATATCGTTGTCGCAAGTTAATCATATTCGTAATTCTATTGGTCGATTACTGGACCTATGCTTTGTAACACATCCTAAAAGTGTGTTTCCAACTTTTGAGGTGACAATTGACACTGTATTAATGGAAAAATTAAAAGGTTAACTTAACTTCACAAGGCATAGTCCCCAGAAGCATTGCAGAAGGCACAACTAGGGAACTACGCAAATCAGACATTCTATTACTTTCCACCTGATTGCCTGGCGCATAGCTTGGCATGGCGAAATCCATAGTCTCCAGAGTCCTGTATCGCTGCTCCATAATTATTCCATGAATTCCCACGTTGGAATTGAATTCTTGAAGACTAGCTCCTCCAAATGCTCCCTCCATTTGGTCTGACTCGCCGGATCCAGCTGTGAAGAAGTACTTAGACGATGATGCATCCAGAGATTTGTTCTGTTGAGCCCATTCTATTTAGAATGAGTATGGGTGTTAAATGAATTCGTTAGCTCACGAAGCATTGAAACAGAACCACTCTACACTACCCCTAGCCGCAGAATTTCATTAATCAGTGCCTGAAAAACCAAACGACTATTAGCAATATTTTATCCATTTTTGTAATAAATAAATTTAACAAACTTTATCCAGATTTCTTTCTTATTTATTGTATCTTCTCCTAACTAAGAGACTAACAAGAATTTATCAAATGTTATGCTATATTAATTTACAATCTATAAATAATTGTATTTCTATTAATTTTCCAGGAATTTAATCTGGAAGTGACTCGGCAGTAATTAGACTTCGAGCAATCCTTTTAGGGATACCAAAACCAATGAAGTCTGGAAGCTATACTTGGCATCCGAAATTTATAGTGACCGCATTGTTTCCAATGCAGTGTCCCTCATACATGATCGTGGATGTTGTAGCTTTTCTATGCTTGTGACGTCAGGATGACTATCTATGATTGTAGTAAACATAGCCCCAGAACAAAGGACATAAGAATTACAAGAATGTATAAATGGCAGCCGTTTTATTATTTGTGTTTTCAATTTATATCGGTATGCAAACATTTTTTTTTGCAACGCCCAAAACGGCCACAAACCGCTTAAAGCTACCACGCCCACACTTGTGAAGAATGTGTTATCATTTTTTTTGTTATTTTTTTTTTTTTAATTTTGTAAAAATCATGTTGCACTCCGGCTAGCTGAATAAGGGGTATTGAACACGCGCTTGTATACGCAGGCTTTCGAATGGTATTCTTTTCTAATAATGTTCTTAACAAGCATCAGCGTCTTTTCCTAATATAGAGGAAAACTCTTATTCCCCTTCGGGATCCGCAATGCGGGCCGGGTGTATTTTAGTTGTTCTTTTTAGCATTTTTTGTGGTTTCACCATCAAATTCTGTTCAATTGCTTGGTTTCAAAGCCACCAGTTCCGTTATTACTCTTGCTTCTGGAGTCCTCATCGAGGTGCCACCGTTTGTGCCGCTATCGTGTCCACGTCCCCGCTGTAATTTTTGTCGTCGCTGTCTCCACCAAAAAAATCTCCATCCAGCATTGAGAGTTTTACCTAAGGAATTCACTTATATTGCCCATATCATCTCTTCATCAAACATTTTGAGGAATTCCAAATTCCTCACAATTTGCGGTCCCGACTTTTCTTCCTCGTCAATTCTTGCTGACACCCTTTTTACATCCGTCTATTTGGACCTCAAACCAGCGATGCCAGAACTCTACATTGGTATCTGTGGCGGCCGACTTTAGCACCGCCAACCACTGCATTAATATTGTTTATATTCAATAACAACTTCTGATTATGTGGACAATAAGAATAGGTATTTTTGTTTTAATATGTTGTCTTTTATTTTTCAATGATGCAATGCATATTCCTACTGACTAACTTCATTACGAATCTTAAAACAAAAGATATCCGATACGCACTGCTGCCCTGGAGCAAGTGTTATTAATAGCCTTAAGGAGACCAATGAATTAGCAAATGACGGGACCAATCGGACTCAAATTGGCTTAAATACCCAGAATCTTTATCAGAACCAATTACGGAGCCCACCCGGGCAGATTCTCATGTTTGGCCGTCAAATCATTTTTATCCGAAATACTGGAGGACACGCTCGGGTAAGAACACGCTTTATTCTCGACCATTGACAGGCGGCTTCACAAACTGATGCACAAGTGCCAAGCCGTTTTCTGCGAGGAGCAAGCAGAGGAATGGCAGCAAAGGATTACAGTAACTATGGAAAAGGTTTTCGTATTGCAGCCCAGACTGCGGATAGTTTTATAACTCTATGGCTGTGGAGATATCAACCACGCCTCCAACAACGAGCTTAATGACACGGCCCTTCTAACAATTCGAAGAAGTGGACCTCAAATAAGCCAAGCTACACTGCAAGATGAAGAAGAGGTTCTAGTCTATTGCGTGGGCGTGTTCAAAATGTTTTTGTAATATCGATGGAAATTTGCAAGGCATATAATAAAACGAGAAAAATGAACTTATTTTTCGAAAGTACAAAAATATATTTAAACTAAGAAATATGTTCAAAATGGCGTAATAGTTTTTTTGCAGCTTTCATAATCGAAGAAATTTGAAAAGAATTAGGCAACTATTACTTATAACAGAATTAGTCTTAGAATCAAATGTGTATTAATGTGCATTCATTTTATGTACATGCATTCATTCAAATAATAATATAAATAAATTATATTATATAAACACATTTTTTAAATAACTGAACTGGAATGTAAAGAAATTTTCAATTTGATTGTTTCTTGTTAGCGGTTAAACTAGTTGATGTTTATTTTAACTAAAATAAAAGCTGAATTTGGCATTTAATAACCCTGTAACAGTTCTTATTTACAACATTTCCTTCGCGCATGCGCTAAGATTTAATGACAATTCCCAATTTATATATGTATATAATGTTACTCTGAATGCAGAAATTCAGAACTTCTGAAGTTTTTATAAGTAAAATAAAAGTTCATCCTTAGTTATTTTTTGCCTAATTCTAAAGTAATTCATCTCTTTTTTCATATAAGTTGCCTAAAAGTAAGTGAATAGAGGTCAATTGACAACTGAGTGAAACGCACCCAGATGAGTGTCATAGATACATTTCTTAAATACGCACACCATTTTCATTACTTATTCTAATATTTGTAATGGCTTTGGCAATGCCCTTCTAGGAGTTAAATTTAACGAAACACAAATAAATCAATGTTATGTACTATACACAAAATACCATTGTGTTTACAAAATATTTGGTGGAGGAAAATAAAGTTCCAGAGAGTAGAGAGAAAAAATATTCCATGCCGTGGATGCTTAGGGCTGGAACGGAATGGGGAGGATTCCAAGTTGTTCCTTTATCTAGTTTCAACCGACAATTCATTGGTTTGATAACCACTTCGCGACTTCCATTGCAAAATTTTTCGTTTTAATCATGTAACAATTACACGTTTCTGTGAATAAATAATTAAATTATATCTTCTTTATCCTGTGTATTGTGCAATGCGACCTGTACATCTAAAAATGTAATGCTTACGTGATAAATAAGTGACATGAAAAACATTTGCAAACATTATTGCAATACCATTTTAGCATAGTCCGCTACCTAACTTATTGTGCTATTGAAATACACACAGTGAATTCTCCACATACTATTGGACGCTAAAGGTCTGTATAAATGCAAAGAACAAACATATATTAAAAGGTGTTGACTTATTTTTTATGTAAAAGTGTTCGGTATCCTTGAATAGCGATCCCAAATTAATATACACAAGAATATAAATGGCCCAGATGAATTATTTAATGTAAATCTACTGCCCATTTATTAGCTTTTAAAACCATAAACCGACTGTAAGATTGTTCGGCATACCGACAGCTATTGAAAAATAATATAATGATGGTTTTTTGCGTCTGGAGGGAGTAGTGTAGGCGTGGCCAAAACGTCGCAATATGCTTTTGCAGCTAAATATCGGGGATCAGACATGACTAGATGAGTCGATTGAGTTTCTTATTGTTATTATTAATAGGGTATTGTAATTATTGTTATTATTATTCTAGGGTACACTAGAATCGTTGAAAAGTACTATATGTAACAGAAGAAGGAACCGTTTCCGACCATATAAAGTATATACATATATTCTTGGTCAGAATGAATAGCAGAGTCCATCCGGCATGTACGTCTGCCCGTCCGTGTGAACATCGAAATCTCAATAGTTCAGACTAAGCATGTTTACTCGTGTTGCCGCACGCACTCTAATGCCCGCAAACCACACAAAAGTACCATGCCGTCACTTTTTGAAAATTATTCGCACTTCCACTAACGGGTATCTGACAGTCGGGGAACTCGGCTATGGCTTTCTCTCTTGTTTATTCTTTGCCAATTTAAAAATATATCCAATATATCCATTTATTAGCCTATCATTAAACAAATTCAATGTTTAAATCGGAGGGAAGATATACCCGTTACTCGTAGCTTAAAAGTATACTAGATTCGTTGAACAGCCAGAAGGAAACGTTTCGGACCATATAAAGTATATATATTCTTGATCAGGATCAGCCGAGTCGAACTGCCCATGTCCGTCTGTCCGTATCAACCCCTTGATCTCAGGAACTACAAAAGTTAGAATGAGATTAAGCATGCAGCTTCCAGAGACATAGACATTTGTTTCCAAATGTTGCCACGCCCACACTTTTAAAAATTTTTTTTGATATTTTTTAATTTTTTTATATTGTATTTATATTTTATATTATAATATATTATATGCTTGGAATAGACTGTTGATGCTGGTCTCCAAACGGGTCAAATGGTCGCTAGTGACAAACAATATATTCAATGATCATCCTCATTAATGGTGTCATGACAGAAATTAATTTATTGTTTAGTATCGGGCATGCGCACATTATTTGGTTTCATTTATTTATATGATATATTATAAAATGAAGGTTATAAGTTCGTCCAAATCCCTCAATACCGTAAAATAGGGCGGGCTGCAGAATTGTTTTGGTCACTTGCATTTGTATCCGAGCTGCAATTGAGAAATTAAAAGCTTCAGAAGAAAATTCAAGAAGCCCATACTTTCTTCTTCTGCTTTAGAGATGTGTTGAATTATTATCTAATGAATTATTACCAAATTCTTCATACATGATTGCGCTATTGCCAAGTTTTAAGTTTTGAAGCTAAGTGTTACTGGGTTTTTTGTATATAACGATACACTTGCCTTTTTCAGGGTTTAGGGTTTTAATGAATTATCAATTACCCAGTTAATATTTATAGAATAATTGCTATTAAGTTAATACAATGAGGTATTCTTACACACACTAATATAATCATTAAACTGAAATAGAGGTTTTAAGTATGGAACTACACAAGCATGGCACACATCACACAGGTGCAGAACATTTGGTAAGCTACTAACATAAATAGAAAAAAAAATGTGCCTAAAACAGGTTCTTGGGGGATAAAACCCGATGGTTTTTACTATGCATTGAATTGCTATCCAGATAGGATTTAATTTGAGCTGTCAGAATGTTTTTAGAATTGTTTTTCACTGAAAACGAAGAAATCACTGAACTCAGTTTGATATTTCGGAAAAAGATTGAAAGGTTAAGTACTAATCGCCGTGTTCATGATGTGTGTTGTATTGGGGAGAGTCATTTAATATATTTAGGGCTGATACCTTCCAGACCTTCAGCGTTTGACAAACTAAGGCGAACTAAGGTCTCCCTGCTCGTGTAAGGTTACGAGCTTTAAAATCTATAAATAGTATGAGCATAAATAATAAATATGAAAGTCTGTATGTGTGCTTTAGGAAGATTTACAAGTTGAAATCATTTTTGATCTATGAAGGAAGAACACTACGGGTTTAAAGAAAAAGAAAAACCCGTGCGTCCAAAGACCTTTTATGATTGAGTAAGCCATGTAAAAACTAAATTAACTCGACTTCTTCAAATGACATTTTTTTTTAATTTTTTCACAATTTAGAACACCTAATTATTGTTTTTTTCTTGTGTACAAATTAACAATAGAGTTGGAGTGCTATTTTCCACACCCAGAAGTGCGGACTTCTTAAAAATATAACAATTTAGCTCATTCAACATAATTTTAATTTCATATAAAATATTAACAAGACAAACCTCTATGCTCGATTTTCTTGACTTTTAGATACCTAATACTCAAATAATAGGTTGGAAAATATCTCCCTTCCGCTTTTTTGCTCTTTATTCAATGCCTTATAAAAAGTGTTACAGTGATCGGATTTAGTTCAAATATGCGCCGTTTTGTTCGATAATCTGTTTCCATCTAGACGGCAACTTCATAATACCTCCCTCGTAGAAGCCCCCCTCCTTTTTTGCGAAGAACTCGGGCAGCCACTTTTCACAAGCCTCTTTTGAGTTCAACTTTACACCACCAAGGGCATTCGCCATGGATAGGAACAGGTGGTAATCACTTGGCGCTTTGTCCGGGCTATATGGTGGATGTGATAAAACCTCCCATCCGAGCTCCCGTAGCTTCTGACGAGTCATCAACGAAGTGTGTGGTCTGGCGTTGTCCTGGTGGAACACTACACCCTTCCTGTTGGCCAATTCTGGACGCTTCTGGTCGATCGCCTGCTTCAAGCGGTCCAGTTGTTCGCAGTAGATGGTAGAATTAAGCGTCTGGCCATATGGGAGCAGCTCATAGTGGATGATTCCCTTCCAATCCCACCAAACACACAGCAAAACCTTCCTGGCCGTCAATCCCGGCTTGGCCACTGTTTGGGACGATTCACCGGCCTTCGACCACGACCGTTTTCGATTGATATTGTCGTATGTGATCCATTTTTCGTCGCCAGTCACCATCCGCTTCAAGAATGGGTCGAGTTCGTTCCGTTTCAGTAGCATATCGCAGGCGTTGATTCGGTCCAGAAGGTTTTTTTGCGTCAAATCATGCGTCACCCAAACATCAAGCTTTTTTTTGTATCCAGCCTTCTGCAGATGGTTTAAAATGGTTTGGTGACTAACTCCCATCTCCTGGGCGATGTCACGAGATGCCACATGCCGGTCTAATTCGATGTATTCCATGATTTGATCGGTATTTGTCGTCACAGGTCTTCCGCCGGCTGGCTTATCCATGGTGTCGGTTTCACCGGCTCTGAATCGTCGAAACCATTCCTCCGCGGTTCGAAGTGATAGAGTACCATCCCCCAAAACACCATTAATCTCACGGAACGTTTCTCTGGCGGATTTGCCTTTAACGAAGGAAAACTTTAAAATAGCGCGAATTTCGGCGTTTGTGAACTCCATGTTTACACGTCTATAACTGTTGAACGCAATATACAAACTAATCATGCATAGCGTCATTTTGTAGGTTATGTCAAGACCTTTCAAATTATGTATAGTATTGCCAGATACGAGCTCTGTAGCGCTTTGTACATAGCCGCGAAATTCAAAAGACAAAAAGGCGGAAGGGAGATATTTGCCAAACTAATAGTTGAAGTGCAAACGAGAAATTTCAAGAATTTTATAGATAGAAATTGACAAAACACTAGAAATAATGAAAAAAAACTACAAAAATTGCAGTTTTGTGAGGTTTGTGGCCGTTATAGTGAACGTGGCCAAAATGTTTTTGGTGTATCCATAGAAACTCGTCAGACAAATAATAAAATTGTTGGCATAACTATAAAAATTAACAAGATAAAGAAGAGAGAATGATATAGTCTAGTTCCTCGACTATCAGAGACCCGTTATATAACTAGTAGGAGTGCAAACTAGAAATTTCTGAAATATCGGTGAAAATTGGGGAAAAAAATAATAAAATGAAAAAATATTTTAAAAAAATTTTAAAAGCGTGTTCGTGACAGTTTTTGGCGGTTTATGGGCGTAGCAAATTTTTGTACAATATGTAAATTTTAAAAAGATTTTTTAAAAGTGTGGGCGTAGCAGTTTTGCGCTGCGTGTATGACTTTGGAATCTGCGTGCCCAATCTCAACTTTCTGGCTTTTGTAGTTCCTGAGACCTCGACGTTCATACGGTCGGACAGACGGACATGACCAGAACGACTCGGCTATTCACCTGGATCAAGCATAATATATATAGTATACTTTATATAGTCGGAAACGATTCCTTCTACCTGTTACATACTTTTCAACAAATCTGGTATGCCCTTCTACTCTACGAGTAAAACAAGAGAGAACACTATAGTCGAGTTACCGGACTATCAGATACCCGTTACTAAGCTAGTAGAGAAATTTCAACATTTTCTGGAATATCTTTAGAAATTAATGTTTTAAAAAGTGTGGGCGTGACAGTTTTGGGAGTTAGAGTGGGCGTGGCAACACTTTTTAGGCAAATCGATATAAGGACGAATAAAAATATGGAAAAATATCAATCAAAATTTGAAAAGTGTGGGCATGGCCGTTAAAAGCTACGGTAGGACAAGGTTCCTAAGCTTATATCTCCGCCTGAAAGACGGTACACCAGTAAATAATTAATTTATAAGTTCAATTAATCCCCGATTTGTCTTAGAAGTTCGGTCAACTTTTTTTTTCTTAATTTGTTTTTTTATCTGATTTACCCAGTCTCCGTTTTTCAATTTGGGAGTAGTCCTCCTTTCGAAAATCATGTCACCAGTCACAAGGATTAAGTTGCCTCACGAGCCAATAGCGAAATACTCGTTTTGGATGGATCATACCTGGAAGACCGCAAAAATGGAAGGAATGACTTGGTTTGGAGACAGAGCCTCTCAGCCGATTCTGCGAATCCGAAACGTTTTCGAATTGCTCTAGAGCAACAAAAAAAAAGATCCCTGGCGAAAAATATTAAAACAGGAGGTGCTGCTTATTTTTTGTTATGGCGAAATCGAAACCATCACCCACTAAGCTAATTTTATCTATCTTTCCGGAGATAAAAAATAAGCACTAAGCTAATCGGCTCGTCGATATCCAGGATTGGAATTAAGGAACACATTGGCCTCATATGGTCGCTTGACATTACGTTACAATAGCGCTGATCTTCCACAATATATCAATCGTTTTTCAGGACCTTTGTTACTACATGCGGTTCTTTATACGCAGCATCCAATTTATGTTACTCTCACATAGCCGTTGGTACGAAGCTAATGACGTTTAAATCGTTTACTTCGCATTTAATAAAGTTTTATTCATTCTTTCTACTTGCCCGTTAGTTCTGGTTGTCCTAACTGCTGTTTTGATATGCTGAATACCATGCTCCTTTTTAAAATTCTCTAATTACTTTGACGTAAATGCTGTTCCGCGATCTTGGATTATACGACTCAGCTGTTCTTTGGGAACAGGCCTATGTGATCCATATTTATTGTACGGAATGGTAACGTGTCGTATACATGCCTGAAGAGTCTGGCTTGCCTCCTTTTACTTTGTATATACAGTACTCTGGGAACGAAGATATGTACGAATATGTACGATATTATCCGTGCCGTAATGTCCTATGTCATCGTGGCTTGCTTTTGTTTTCCTACAGCTTGATTGCTTGAGGTACAACTAATTTGTTGCCGTTTTGCGTAGAAGTCTGCTTGATTCAATAACGTAGTCTGCTTCTACTTGCTTCCAATGTGAATTCTTCTCCTTAGTTCTGAATACTTCAAATATCTGCGCCAGTATTGGGTCTTGTCTTTGCATCGCATACACCCAATCTTCATAAGTTGTAAAATCGCTAATACATTGTCTGCTACTGTGAGAGATATTTCTCCGCGGGGCAGAGTTGGTTGTCTGATAATGTCATCCACGTATGGTATATCCGCTCCTGGTCGATGTTTACAAGTGAAATCAAAATCTTGTAGCTTGAGGCACCATCTTGCTATTGGTGGTTGTAACTCTGTTGCAATCTGTTACCACCAGAAAATAACGTAGTAAGTATCCCAGTAAGTATATACGGAATCTATCCAGTATTGGTTATATTTCTAACGCATAGCTTGCGTATCTGCTCTCTGCGTCGCTGCATAGCCGGCTATAACAAAATACAATATAATAAAATTCCGTCTTCCTCTCGTTGGAACATAATTCCTGCTATTCCCAGTTTACTCGCATCAGTGTGTACTTCATGATATTTCGTTGGGGCGTACAGGGTCAACACCAGTTTCGATGCTAAGGCTTCTTTTAGTCGTTGAAACGCCTGTTCCTGATCTTCTCCCCATACGAACTTCACATCCTTTTTCAATTATTTGCTCACTGGATAAGCAATCATACTGTACTTCTTGACAAATTTTCTGAAGATTCCTGTAATTCCCAGGAATCTGCGTACTTCTGTTTCATTACATGGCCTTTGATATTTGTTGATGCACTCAGTCTTCTCGTTGCGTGGTTGAATCCCGTTGGCCTTGATAACGTGACCCAAAAAGGTCACCTTCTTTTCCACCAACTCTACAGCATCCAGAAATTCCATTTATATAATTGTCCATCTTAGATGCAATTATGACTTCGTCCACCTAATTGATAATACTCCGTTGGTGTTTCATTTATCTTATGATCTCCGTTATGACTTCTTGGAAACCATAGGTGCGTTCACAAAGGGCAAGACATTAAATACATACAGCCCATCTTGTGTCATAAATGCCGTTAAGTGCAGGCTTTTCTCGTTCATCAGTAACCAGAGGTCATATCCAGCGTCTTGAAGTATATGTTTCCGGAGAGCTTTGCCAATTACTCCTCTACGATTGGCATCGGATAGCGCTTTTTTATGGTAACTGCGTTTAGAGCCCGATAGTCCACGCATAGCCACCGTTCTCCGTTCTTTAGCACCAAATTTGCTGATGCTGCATGTGTTGACTTGATTCTTTCAATTATCCCGTAACTCGTCAATTATCGTGTTCATCATCTGTTCGTGTTCGGATCGTGTTCAAGATGGCATTCGTAGAGGATAGCATTTTAACAGATTGTTCACCTGTTCCTGGTGGTCGGGGTCAATGTCAGTATTAACATTAAACCCGGCCCACTCCACTGCCGTCAGCGTTGATCCTGATTCCTCGCCAACCAGCATTTCCTGATAGTGGCAGATGATATCTCTGCCCTCCAGGATATATTATGATAGGACTTCGTTTGGTACCACATGAATATGTGTGAACAGTCTAAATGTGCCACAGACAATCTCTGATAAGATGCACTCCTTCGATTCGACCATAAATCGTCCAAAGCTTTGCAGACGTTTGATCCTTGGTTGCCGTATTGCTCCATCTGGCACTGTTGCTTCTTTAATGCGTGTGTTATCGCTGCCCGTGTCGATAAACGCTTCAAACTTTTGACCGCAATCAGAACTGTTTTCATTATTGGCGGATACTCCTTATGTTTTGACTCATGCACTGGAGCAACCGTTGATGATGTTTTCATCTTGCAATCGTTTTCATTATCCCCAATCCTAGAACATTTGGAACACCGTTCTTTCCGCTGTGGCTCTGGTCATTTTGCCGCAAAGTGCCCAAAATGATTTCAGTTATAACATTAAATTGCTTTCATCTTTATATAATATAAGCATCATTGTTTTGCTTTTCATTAATCTTTGCGGCGTTGTATTGTTGTTGATGCATACCTTGTGCATATCTCAGATTTTCCAAGGACTTTAGCAACTGTGGACAAGGGCGTATGTTTATTGCTAACAATGCTTTCGTGAGTTCTTATGAATTAAGCCCGTTGATATTATATATGATTTTATCGATGGCTCATCAATACTTGCACGCCGTCCGATAGATAAAATCGCCTAAAAGTATTCGATTAGTGACTCGTTATTGCGTCGCTTGCGTCGCATCAATTCTCTGTACACATCGGCGGTATTCACTACACTTGGAAAATCGAGTGGGAATGCCGATTTGAATTGATCTCATGATCGATGTACCTGCTGTGAATCCAGCCATGTTTTCGCAACTCCCCGCATCTTATGTTGCACTGCAAACAGCGTCACTTGTCCACGTATATATTGTTTGTAGTTGCTCTACCTTTGACCTTGACCTTGAGCTTCTAGCTGTGGCGATAAACGCACACTTTCCATTTGCGACTCGTTTGGTGTGTGTGTGTGTCTCGATCCATCCAGCGTCTCGCCTGTTGCCCGTACGTTGACGAGTCCACAGTCCCTTGCCCTTGACCTTGTTGGTGCGTGCACGCCGTTTGGACCATCGTTCCCAAGGTTGCCACCATCTCCTTTATATCGTTGATTTGAGCTTGCATTCTTATGTTTGCGTTTTGTTCCAATATTTTGTAGTCGTCAGTATTAATTTCATCATTTCCTAGTTTCGTTATCAATTCGTTGATCTTTGCCGTTTTGTTTCCCTAATCTTTAGGTCTTTTAACTTTAGACGCATTTTTCTGAGAACTTTTGCTTGTGCACGTCTGCACTCGTTGGCGTTTCTCTCGTCGTTCTCTTCTTCTTTGCGATCAACCGTTAAAATTTCTCGCCGTTTGTGAATCTGCTTCAGTTTCTCTTCTTTTTATTTTCCTCTCCGACGTGTTGCTATTTCGATTATACAACATAAAGTTTTAAAAATTTTAGTGGCAAATTTTTAAAACTTTGTTGTATAATTTTATTTTGTTTCTGTCAATTTCTATCGATATAGCCAACAAACACCACAAAATTAAAATAACAATTAATGTAACCGACAACAGGTTGCGCTAGTGAGCAAAAATAAATAAATAAAATAAATTAATGTTTTCTGATTAAGACTTCGTTTCTCTGCAATAAAACTGATTATTAGATTAATTAATTTGGCTCATTTCTGTTTTCAGGACTCCATAAATAAATAATACGTCATTCAACAAAATTTTAAAGTTGAAGACGACAGCGCAATGAAGTTTTTATTCGAAATATTAAGACTATTTATTAGAAAGTCGTCTTCGGGCGGAACTCTCAGAGCTTGGATACTTTCAGCTCTCATGGTACATGGAGCAGTAGCTGGAAACCCCGACGCAAAACGGTTATATGATGACCTTTTAAGCAACTATAATAAATTAGTTAGACCTGTTGTTAATACGACAGATGTTCTAAAAGTGTGCATTAAATTAAAACTTTCACAGCTTATAGATGTGGTAAGTAAATAATAGTGTTTTATAACACTACCATATAGCACTAACCATATAAGAACAGTTTTAAATAGAGTCGGACTCCTGAATTAAAATTTAGTGAGTTTCCCAATGCATTAAAATTTTTTTTTATAAACTGCCTCTAACTATAATAAACCTTATTATTTATAATATTGGAGCCGATACGACGGGTACATATAATTATTTACTTTAATTAATTAAAATTATGAGAACGAGAATGATATGAACGAGAAATAAAAACATTTTCTGGAATATCGATAGAAACTGGGAAAAAAATTTGTATAAAAAATTAATAAAAACAATTTTAAATATGTATTTTAAAACAATTTTAAAAGTGTAGGCGTGGCTGTTTTGACAGGCTTGTGAGCGTGGCAAACAGATGGAAATTTACAAGATACATATATAAAAAAAATGACAAGATATCCTAACATTTTTTAAAAGTGTGGGCAGCTTTGGGCGGATTGTGGGCGGATCGATAGAACTTTAAAAGTCTAATAAAAAAATAAAAAAATTTGTGGGCGGTTTGTGTGCGTTAGAATGCAACTAGCTTCTATAGTTCCTGAGATCTCGTACGGAAGGACAGAAGGACAGTTCGACTCATCTATTGATCCTGATCAAGAATATATATACTTTATATGGTCGGAAACGCTTCCTTCTGCCTGTTACATACTTTTTAAGGAATCTAGTATATCCTTTTACTCTACCAGTAACGGATATAAAAAGGATATATGCGAAAATCGGAAGATGTCAGAAGGACAAAGCTATTTGAGGCGTCTTTACAGTGGGTGCTCGACTCAAATAAACCCAAATAAAACCATCTTCGAGATGATTTCAAATGATAAAAAAATATTTCACATTGCAGATCAGAACACGACAAAATTAAATGGTATCGGCGAAGTGAATATTGAAGTAAGAGGAAAGCAGAAAAACAACGAAATAACTTTTGTCCTTTTGTACAAAATTAAGGCCAAAAAAATTACAAAATTACAGTGGCCTTACTTACAATAGTGGGATGATAGGCAACGTCAACACCCACAGTTACCTTGGAGTCTACCTGGATCGAAAACTCATTTGGAGGGCCTATATCCAAACAGTAAAGACAAAGTACCTCTAAAAGCTACAATAGTTGGACCTGCTCCTGCGGTCAAGAAAACTTCAGTTCCCCACAGCTTATGGGGAACTGGGCTCCTAACTGTTCAAACCCGTCTGGCTCGGCGTGCGTCCGGTCTTCCTTGGTACGTCTCCAATCACGCTATCCTATGGGATCTCCGGAGAACTCTGATTGGTGATCAGATCAACCTTCACAGCAGCCGATACGCAGACAAGCTGGCAACTCACCCACACTCATTGGCGAGTGGTCTCGCCAGTCCTCTTTCCCTCCGACGTAATCTAGTTAAGGCTTCTTTTACCATACTCTAATATTCCATCTTCTTCGTTCGGTAATGTTCAGAAGAAATAGATTTATAATATATAAAAAAATAATTGACAGAGGAGGATACGAAGCTAATTTTCGCAAACATGAAACATAAAATACTCAAAAAGGTATGGAAACTTGTTGTCGGGTTTTGCAGCTGCCAACAAAATCTTAAATTCATTAATCGTAAAAATTCCAGCTTTGGAGACACAATTAAACTCTATGGCACCTCAGCTGTGTAGCTATAAATTTTGCAGAGAGAATGCGGGAGCATTCTTTTTCTCGCCTCTTTTTCGCTCACTGTCTCTTGTACAGGCCCTTTTGGCTTAGCTTTCTATTGTTTGCTCTGTAATTAAGCCGCTAATTTCCTTCGCTTCAATTTATGAATCAATTTAAATTATCGTTTTATTAAACTTAAATAAACTACATTCTTTCGACAATCTCTAAATGTAAATCGTCGTCTTATTATTAAAACAAGAAACAATGCTCTAGTCGAGCTCCCCGACTATCAGATACCCGTTACTCAGCTGGTGGAAGTGCGATCGAGAAATTTCAGCATTTTCTGGAATATTGGTATAAATTAGGAAAAAAAGAATAAAATGAAAAGAACTTAACATTTTTAAAAAGTGTCGGTGAGGCAGCTTTGGGCGGTTTGGAGGTGTCGGAGTGGGCGTGGCAAATCTATAGAAATTTACAAGAAATCTTAAAAATTAAAAAAATTTCACAACCTTTTTTTAAAAGTGTGGGCGTAAAAGTTTTGTGCGGTTTGTGGCCATTAGAGTGGGCGTGGCAAAAAGGTTTTTGGCAAATCGATAGATTTACAAAACTAACAAAAAAAGGAAAAATTATCAAAATATTTTTCAAAGTGTGGGCGTGGCAGATACTCGTTGTAGTGGAATTGCGAACAAAAAATGTGTGGAATATTGGTAGAAAATGGGGAGTCGAGTTCATCCACTATCACATACGCATGCGTTACAGTGGCAGTTGTTTGCCAAACATTTGTTTGCCAAATTGATAGAAATTATTAAGACAAACAAAAAAGGGAAAATAATTAAAATATGTCTCAAAATGTGGGCGTGGCAGTTTTGAGCGGTTCGTGGCCGTTAGAGAGGGATTGGCAACAAATTTACGCTTGCGTCTTGCGTCTATATCTCTGCTTAGTCTCAACATTCTACCTTTTATAGTTCCTGGGATCGAGGCGATTATATGGACAGACGGACGAACATGGCCAGATCGACTCGGCCTTTGATCGTGATCAATAATATATAAACTTTGTATGGTCGGAAACGTTTCCTTCTGGCCGGGTATAAAAATAGGTAATTTAAAGGCTTATTATCTTAACTCTTGTACTACGTATATAAATGCGGCAAAACTTCAAGTTTGTAAGATTAGTGAGAAGCCGAATGAAATAGATCTGTGGCTTAACTTCTCTCAAAACTGTGGTATGTCTATACAGGAAAAAAGATGCTGCTCAGGGACAATGGGACGGACACATCTCACACCGATAGAGGATTTCTTGGAGGCCATTCCCCTGTAGCTAGACTCAGTACAGCACTCTTCAAATGGACGTTGTTACCTACAACGTTGCCTACCTGAACGGTGACCTTGAATAAAAAGTATTCATGGACTCCCAGACGATTTCAGCAAGTTCACGGAAAAAGTAAGGTCCAGTACCCCAATTGGATCAAGGCAGCAAGCACCCTCTGCCAAATTAATTAGAGCTGCAAGTACTCGAAGGAAATCTTTGAAAAATATTAAGAATACGGTTTGTTAAAAAAAGGCTTTATATGGACTCCTCCAATGAGGATTACGTTGGTACTGCTAGCTCAAAGAAAATTTAAAGGAAATAGATCTTCATCCGACCAATCAATACCGGTGACGAAGAGGAAAACTTTAGCTTGTTACGATCTACGTTGATGATTTGTTATAAGCATCAAATAATCCACAATATCTATGAGAATCAAAGAAGAGTTCCAAAACATCTCAAATTAAGGACTTTAGACCAGCGAAGACGAGCCTGAGCATCTCATTCATTCAAAATGTCCAAACACATTGTGTTTTCATGACTCAAAATAAGTACGTCGGCGCAATTCTAAGGAAATATACACCTGCAAGCAGGCAGGTACACCGATCGAGTATAAGGTATTATAAATGCGACCACCTAAACCAAACGAACGCGGTCTTTAATGTTTCTTGTAGACTCAACACGACCAGACATTGCATATGCCGTGAATTTCTTGAATCAGTTAAATTCCAATTACACCGTTCGGCACTGGTAGATGCAGACTGAGGCTTAAATTGATTGAATTTTCGCCCATGCACTGGATGAGCCTTTATAAAAAACAGCGGACAGTTACTTTGGTGGTGTATTTAATAATGCCAGATGCAGTTAAGGTGGCGTGTTTCTTACAGCTCTATTCATACTACCTCTGAACTGTAACATAGGTGTCTTCTGATTTTAAAGTGAGCGGTCGTTTTGGTTTTTTCGACCTAATGATCTCCTTTTCGCGCTAATGGCCTAAAGAAATTAAAGGAATCTCCAAAGCAAGAAACCCGTTGGTGGTAGGCTAAGACGTAATCTTGTAAATTTCTATAAGTTTGCCAAAAAACTTATTGCCATGCCCACCCAAACGCCCACAAACTGCTCAAAACTGTCATGGCTACACTTTTGAAAAATTATATATTTTTTAATTTTTTTTATATATCTTGAAAATTTCTATAAATTTCCCAAAAAAAAACTTTTTGCCACGCCCACAAGCCGCCCAAAACTGTCACGCCCACAATTTTGAAAAATATGTTATTTTTTCACTTTTTTATGTAAATATCTTGTAAATTTCTATAGATTTGTCAAAATACTTTTTGCCACGCCCAGTCTTACGGCCACAAATCGCACACAACTGTCACGCCTACTTTTAAAAAATTTTTAAGTTTTTTTTCATTTTATTATTTTTTTCCCAATTTCTGCCGATATTCCAGAAAATTTTGAAATTTTTCGTTAGCACTTCCACTAGCTGACTATAGCATTCTTAGCATTAAAACTAATTTTTTGTTAAAACCTCGAAAGTAACTTCTACCACATTTGTACATGGTGGAAGAACTAAAAAATTTTGAAATTAGTGGATTCGTATACTCGTACAGTAAAAGGGTATTACCAGATTTGTTGAAAAGTATGTAACAGGCAGAAGTAAACGTTTCCGAACCCATAAAGTGTATATATTCTTGATCACGATCGATAGCCGAGTCGATCTGGCCATGTGCGTCTGTCCGTATGAACGCCTCGATCTCAGGAACTACAAAAGCTAGAATGTTTAGATTAAGCATGCAGCTTCCAGAGACATCGACGCAGTATAAGTATGTTTCCAAAATGCTGCCACGCCAAACCGCACAAAGCTCTCATGCCCACACTTTTAAGAAATTTTAAAGTTTTTTTTATTTTATTATTTTTTTCCCAATTTATATATATTCCAGAAAATTTTGAAATGTTTCGTTTGCAACTCCACTAGCTCATTAACGGGTGTCTAATAGTCGGGGAACTCGACTATAACATTCTATCTTGTTAACGAGTAACCTTACCTCGAAGACGCTTTAGAAATCTCGATTATTATACATATTAAGTTAGAAGTATATCATTTCTTTACATTAATGCTTACCCGTTTACATTTTTTATAGAACCTAAAAAATCAAATTATGACCACAAATCTTTGGGTTGAGCAGGTAAGTAATTACATTTTTGTAAAATGTTTCACAACAATGTTTTTACAATTTATATTCTCATATTTTCGTGTTTAAAAATATAGTCAAAATAAGTCGTCTTTGTGATATCTATGTGAATACTGAACTAACCAACCATGAATTAATTATTTCAAACATATATACAGCATTTCATCTTATTGCGTAATTCGAAATCATTAGGAATTCTACTCTTACACCCCGCTTTGATAACAAATAAAGCAAGTGCAAACCAGTTGTTATGACAAGCTCACCTGTGGTTAAGTATCCTACTAAAAGGACAGTATCACAAAAGAAATTTTGATGATGAACTCGAATAAGCTGATAGCTAAAAGTTAAAGTGAATCAACAAACAAAGAAATCTAATTGCTTGATATTTTTTTCTTTGAAAACAAAAAAAAAACATTAAGGAACTGTGAATATATTTTTTAAAGTTTAAATGTTACAAAGGTTTTAAAAAATGTACTAAATCTTGTTCAGTTTAAATATTTTCCCTCTAAGCGCGGAAGAAGATAATAAAGATAAAGGTAATATTTATTTGCCCACCTGTTAAAACAAGAGATTTTTCTTGAGAATAAATAAGAACTCGGATGGCCTAGTTTAATAGTATAACTTGTTTAATGTTAATTTATGGTTATTTGTCCTCACTTCGAACTTCTTGTGGCGCTGCAACTTCAATACAATCATTTTTTATCTCTTCTATCCTATCTACTTCTATCTCTCCCACTCCCTTCGTTCGTAAGAGTTGGCAGCATCATTATAACAGGTGCTATCTTTAAATTTTAACAAAACTATACTTACTGCGTTTTGACCCAACATACCGGCCCCCTTGAAAGTGTGCGTATATTGGATACCCGCACGATGTTGTCCGATCCTGCGATGGTGCTGACTATGCGATCAAGAAACTACCATTGTGGCGGACGATTATCCTCGTGAACGATGACTATGTCGTTGACAAATTTAAAAATACAGGTTAAGGAAGGCTTGGTCTTCCTCGTGAATGTTCGTGAAGGCTTGTTCTTCCTCGTGAATGCTCGTGAAAGCTTCACCTTCCTCGTGATAGATGACCATGTCGTTGACAGCTAGATTTGATGCAGTCTTCGTCCAGGTTGTGCGCACTTTTGACCTCGTTTATATACTCGTGGCTCCAGCTACTCCAGGTGAAATGCTTTATGACGTTTCTATTCTTCCATCGATCCAACTTATCCATATTGTCGTCTATTGGTAGAAGTTCTGGTAGTGCTCGAAGTGGGAACGACCCCAAGTGCTCGAAGTGAGAACGACCCCCCGAAGTGCTAGGTGTGGGAACGACCGGGTGATCATAGCGAAGTTAACAGGAAAAGGCTGATTTTCTTTTCTCCTGCTGCATAGTTTCCATGTCAATGTCAATGTTGTCTCGGCTATCCTTTGGCCAATGTTGCTGATCTACTCAGGTCCCTCGAACCATATCGATTGTTCCAACTTGGCGATGGTGCGATGGTAGGGATATATCTCCCGTGAATTCAAGCAATTCGATTGCAGACAAAAGTTGATAAGGTGGCCGAGTTTTGGCGATTCCAATGTAGAACAAATTAAGAATCGCACATAACTACGAGTTTGGCTCCCAGTCTGCGAAGATTCTAATTCTAATGATTTAGCTATACCTTTGCCCATCTGGTCCGAGTGTGCTAGCGTAGTGTGCTGAGTGTGCTGATGGAGGCATCACAGAAGCCGTGTATCAGAAAAGTGCGTATCGCCGGGTGGAGACAATATCGCACCATAATTAAGAGGTTGGCTCCCTGTCTGCGAAGATTCTTATGATTGTTTGATAGTGTGATAAAAATGTGTTTTACAAAGTTCTAATTTTGGCGGAGGCAGCTTCTTGGTGGGAGCAACTCTGATCCGAGTGTGCTAGCGTGGATGCAGCATCCACACGCTCTGATGGAGGCATCACAGAAGCCGTGTATCTGAAAAGTGCGTATCGCCGGTTGGAGACAATATCGTGGTATTGCTACAGACTCCAACGACGTATGAGACGCAAGCAGGAGCATCCAAACTGTATGAAGATGACCTTTTGGTACTGACTCGTCCCAGTGTAGTTTCAGTAGCCACAGCTCCTGTAGAACGAATTTGTAATGATGCTGGGAGTAACTCATCCCAACGGAGAGAACTGAGAAAACATGAATGTCTCCCGTACTTGTTCCCATTTTAGGTCACGCGTGCTAGTCACCATTTGGTCGTCCAACTGCAAATGTTTGATTTTAGCGTCATCGACAAGCTTACAGTGATTTGAATGCCATTTTGCGAGTTCCAATTGGCCATCCTGTAGAATCGTTGTAACTTCCCTTTTGATTTGATGTACCTCCTCTACCGTAACCGCTCCACCCAGGAAGTCATCCAAGATGTTTAGCAAGATGCGTCGAAAACCGCTCTAAGCTTCGTTGATGTTTTGTTCGGCTTGAGCATGCAGTGGTTTGGTAATAATCATAGGTTGGTCTTCTCCTATCGATGTCGACTGAGGCTCCGTGAGCGTTAGGTTCATCTTTAAAAGGTAATCGTACTTCCAATTTGATTTGCGTCGTACCGATTTTAAATAGAACTCCTCACAGATTCTCTGCTCCGAGGTAAGTGTATTTCGGGAATCTCTATATGATCGATTCGAAATAGCCATTCCATTTTTCCTCAATTTCTTTTAGTACGATAGATGAGTACTGGGATGTGCTCGACATCGACCAGACACTATCCATCCAAGTAGCGTTTCCTAATTTAACTTGGCCGACTACAAATCGATGCGGCGAGACTTGTTGAAGGTTTCGTCGGAAAGAATGTAGTGCTGCGGAAGATTCCACGAGGAAATGTCAATTTCCGATTCTGGGTGATAGGCGAAGGTGATGTCACGCCAAAATCAAGAAGTACATATCTCGAATTCATTGTGTCTCAACTTAATATTGGTGGTTGCAGGGTATTTAATTTATGTTTGTGTCTCACCAATGCTACGAATTTGTAGGTTGAGCTTCCTTCGTGGCAGTCGAATACCTTGGGCGAACTCCTCGGATATGAAATTCACTTGAGAACATGAATCCAACAGTGCTCTTTCTATTTTGTAGCTTCCAGATACATCCTTGACCTTCGTCAGAATGACACAATCGGAACGAGGTTCCGTGTGAGTTTGTTTGACTGCGTTTAAAACTTGTACAGACTCCGCTTGAAGTTGTGACAAGAGAGTTGGGACCGATCCAGATGAAGGTCGATGAAGCAGCGAGTGATGCGCTAACGCACAGGACGGCATCTCTGCGTCGACAAGATGACCCTCGCTAAGACAATTAATATATATAGCCCGCTAGATTAATTAGCTCTGGGCATCTAAAAATCCAACGAACGCAACGAGTTCGTAACTGCTGGCCAGCCATTTGACTAGCCGGCAGTTAGCAATGCGGAAAACGACGATATGTTGTCCAAGAGAATGAGAGTTGGGTTGTCAAATAATTATATTTGACAAAAGCGCTGCCTTAAGCGATCCAGAGCTTTCGTTTCTAACCGTTTCTAAGGCGGGTCTTCAAGTTTAACAACTTGTTGAACTTCTCGATCATAGACATTGATGGCTGATAGCCAGCGACTTTATAAAACGACGTGATGAAGTTCTGGTAGTCGAAGTACTTGCCGTCAAATGTCGACGACGATAAGCGCAGAAGCTTGATTGCAGAGGTGTGGCCAAAATTAAGCGTGGATTCATTAATGCCTGTGCTGCTTATACACGTATGTACAGTGGATAAATAACTCCTCTATTTTGAAAAGAGCATTGCGCTGCATCCATCTGGTCTATGGTTTCCTGAGTAGATAAAACAACTTTAAAATATGATTCCAAAATAAACAAACGGCAGGATTGTTCCAAAGGAGATAAATTTAAACCAGGTTCCACCGAATAGCTCATACGCGCAAGGCTTTTTCGAGCACTCGTTCGGTCAGCATTAAGTTTCTCCAGCAAAGACATATTGCAGATGCTTTATTTATTTTTGAATTGGCAATGCCTTGCTTCACAAGGTGTGTAAGTGTTATTAATTAATGCAGTAATGCATTAATTTAATGCAGTGGAAAGTTTTTGCACGGCAAGCTAGGGTGCTACCAAGTTACGGCAAAACGAGGTTATGTAAATTATTGTTAGATGTGTTTCGTATATTTTTATTTGTATACAATTATAATAGAATTTGTGCGGATTTGTATGTTTGTGCGTGGCGATGACCGACGCTTTTGATCTCCAAATATCGACTACCTATTACAGAATAGATCTCTTATCTTTACCCTACGTTCCTCAGCAAAGCTTAGCTCTTCTCTCAAAAGCTCCGATGCGCTTGCATTAAGCTAAGGGCATAAGCAATATGTAAATGACTCCAGTTAACTCCTCCTCTACTAGGATGAAGGCTGTCCTCAGTCTTTTCCAATTATACGGTTGATAATGAACGGGAATCCTGGCGATCCGTGCTTTGTTTGACGTTGGCCTTGGTGGTCTTGTAGTGTCGTTACAATGCGCACATTGGATAGAGTAGTTGGTGTCGGAGAGCTCAATGTATTTTGGTGATTGAGTTGTCGATTTGTTCTCTCAGGTTGCCGCAATCGGATATGTCGTTTATGCCAATAGGATTTAAGAGCTTTCTTTAACGCTTTGTTTAAATTATTATAGAATACAAAAGATATGCACTGCAAGTACGTTGATAGTTAACTATAGTGGTAATATAAAATAGTGTACAACGCTCGTTGATTAAATTTGTTTTTTATTATGATATAGGAATGGGGTGAAGAAAGCCATTAATAACACTAATGGGTTTTTGTTTTTTATTCTGAGTTATTCTTCTGTAAGCTGTGCTTTTTTTTGTAATGTCTATTGCTGTTTTGCTGCTTAATTTTTGAGTCGAAAGGTTCCTGTTACGTGGATTTAAAGTTTTTGAAATCATAAGAGACGGTCGTTCAAGATTTACTTTTAGGCTGTACCTAAGGAGTTCACGATTTTT